TGGTAAACTATAATGTAAAACACAGCCAGTGCACATAACATAGTAGGGTTGTGCAAAGAAATGGAGAGGCCCACAGCCAATCCTCCATAAAAGTAGTTTGGTGCAGAATTCAGACTTTGAATTTTGTGGTCAGTGGTAATTATTTCAAGTCTGTATTGTTTAAGTTCAGGAAATTAATACTGAAAGTATTTTGTTTGCTTTCAATAAGAAAAAATATAATTGAATCCCAAGTCTGTGTTGATCAAAAGGAAGAACGCAACATTTAAACAAACACTGACGCCACTGTTTTTAATTAGTGCTGACTCAGAAGAGTGCACTGGATTTGTCAGTACTACAGTGGCTGTGAAGTGCTACTAAATCAAATCAAGTGGCATTGATTCAAATAATCTGAAACGGTGAGAACGGAAGAACTAATCACCCAGAAGTGTCCTTGATGGTACGTGTTCATTATTAAGAGACCTACAGTGACACAAACAGTAATTGTATGAGGTCTACCTTATATCAGTTGGGTTCTATTACCCCAGTATTACACTGTGTGGGTGGGAGAGCAGGCAGTGGGATGTAAGGATTTAAAATGAGAAACGTTAATCAAGTATACTTCCTGACTGAGTACAGCCTTGGGAGTCCAAGAAGTATTGTTCATAGTGGAGGTGAAGGGGCTCTGCATTTAAAATAAACCAGCATGACATTGGTGCTACTTTTGTAAGCTCTCATGGGTGGTTATTCATCCTCCTAGAGTCACCTACATCTTATGACTAGCAGTAATTTGTGGTTTAACGGCAGATGGCTGTAGTAAATGAATGTGTAAAATGTATGGTCACAAGAAGTAATAGTTATGCTTAAAATAAAACAAGTATTCGATTCTTGTCCTCTTGTGGGTACAGAACTTGAATTAGGACTGCACCATTTTGGGGGAAAAATGTTTGGTTTTTTACTACACTTAAGTGAACATTTGAGAGAAGAAGAAAACTAAACTAACAATCCCATGAATTTCAGATTTGTGTAAAGAACTTCAGGTACATAATTTTGTCTTGCACTCTTTGTGAATTGATAACTGGGCCAAATCACATTGCAATTCAAATTCTATTATGTTTGCACAGCCCTAATTCAGATATAGTTCCATTATGATTCACCCACTGATATAAGTATTCACCACAGCATGATGTTGCCACAGGTCTGAGCGTTTGTATTCAAAGTGCATAGTTTTTGGTCCATGTCTCTCGGCAGCTGAGTGTGCAGCCCTGCGGGACACTGTTCTCCTGCTCCTTTGCTCAGTCAGAGCCAATCCCCTCCAGCACAGGGACTCTGAGGCTCGTTCACATGAGGAGAGCGCCTCACCTCACCGCCAACCTTATCCTCCTTTAGGACTGTCTTTGTTTTACAGTTCTGTGCATGATTTGAATAGAGCTCAGGTGGCTATCATGTAAATGCACTCAGGAGAGGCAGCTAATGACACCAGTGTAGTGGGTATGATACTATTTTGTATTTGTTTGCTTTAGCTTGTCCTGTGCAGTAATAGATTTTGTTTGGGTTGAGCTTCCTGTATGGCTGAAAAATACAATGCAAAAGTAGCCTATTGTTGTTGCATTATCCAACTGAACAAAAATTGGTGAATGTTAGATTTATGGATGTGCCGACCCGATACTGGTATTAGAATATCTGCTCCAATATTGAAAAACTAGCTTGATTGGATGTCAGCTTTCAGATATCAGTTCAACCAGTATTGTGGTTCGACATATATTGATATAATAAAACTCTTTTCTGGCTGCAGTTGCCCCAGGAAGTCTCATAATGTCGTATACAAAGCTGTCCTGTAGTTACCTGCACATTTTAACTAGTTTTGTCTTATTTTATTTTATTTTTAAAGAAATAAATCTTGTATAGGTTGATATCCGGATGGGCAGATACTTAAAGCCATAGTATCAGAATCAATATCAGTCTATCCCTAGTTATCTCCTCCTGTTGTCTCTCTAAAACATGACCCGTATAGTGTGCAGTGAATTAGGCCAATGATTTACTGTTGATTTGGAATTGTCACCTTCCTGGAAGTAATCCTCTCATTTATTTATTTGCCTATTTAATACGCCTGTTACCAAAGCTCATGTTCTAGAATGACACGCAATCAAATGAGGAAGAGCGATGGTAATCTGGAAGATGAAAGCAGAAAGATTTGGGGTGAGAGAATAGATTCTTCAAAGAAAAGGAATAATGTGATGATTACAGTGCACTGTGCTATGATTGTCTGCAGCCTACACACTGACATAGTAATCTCAACATTGAATAGCACTGATTGAAACACCAGGAGTTTGCTTTTCATGTATTATGCATGCCCATAGCACAAGTAGCGTCCATATGTGTTTAACAGGTTCATTGGTTTAAATTGAATTGCAGGTTCATTGATTTTAATGACGTCACAAAGTCCTGCTCTTTGTGAATGAGTTTTCACTGCAGCATTTGGGAGGGCTGTCATAAACTACCACTCATCTGTGCGTTTTTCTCGAGTCAGTCAGAACAGTGTGGCCTTGCCAAATCAGACTTGCTTTACCAAATGAAACCTCTCTGGATATCTTTGTTGTTCTTTTTGCATATTCTGTGTTTACTCATTGCAGACATACATTAGAAATAGGCACACTAGATGTTGCAGGATTTCAGATGACATCACCAGTAGCCAACAATATTTAGTACAGCTAAGGCAGCTAAAATGCAGATTTTTGTTTAATCTTGTGAGTTCTTGTGTCTTGTCACTAATTGAAAAAATCAGGATCAACATTTGTGGATTTACCCTTTAGATATTTAGGAAAATAAATACCATAAAATCAAAAGGGAAAATGGTTCTTGAATGCATGCAGTTATTTAATTAATTAGAATAGAAGAAGGATATTAGGCCCTGAGGTTAAAAGGGTCTAATTTGTTTGGTTAATGATTGTTGAGAAGTATTCTTAGGGGTTTTTGTGTCCTTGAAATGAATAGATTTATTGATTATGTAAATCCATTCTGTCACTGCTGCTGATTAGGTTTTGAAAAAATGTTCTTTAATTTCTGAAGAATTCAATATTAACTGTGAGATAGGATTTGAAACATGATTCATGAGGAGTGAATTGCTACTGTTCTGCCAAGAATGTGATCAATGAAAAAGGTGCAGGAACTAACAATTTTGGCTTGATGCTGAGAACAGTAAAAATGTTTCCGGAGGTAGTTTCCATTGTACCTGATGCCCTGTAGAGAAACATATTTGCTTGATGAAAATAGTCAGTGCAGTTCTTTGCTTTTTTATCTGTAACCTTTTTCATGAAAGTGAGGTCTGGGAAATTACAATACAGATTGCCTTTGATATTCTCAGATGTGTGTGGGTGTTTCAGACATTAACAGAGAATGACATAAAATGGGGTTAGGCATATTATACTTTTTATTTTCATACCTTTACTATCAACACACCCGAGACTACACACCTGTGAAATTAAAAGATTGAATTGATTTAATTTAATACTTAATATGTGAAAAATTCCTCAGTTGTCCAGGTAGAAGCAGCTTGGATGAGCTGCGAAACGTATTTGACCAGATAAACTTTTGTCCAGTTGACAAATGGAATTTTGCCTTTAATACTTAATACTAAATAGGGCTGAACGATTTGTGAAAAATAGCTAATTGCAATTTTTTTGACAAGCATAGCGATTGCTTTTGGGTTTACAATTTATGTTTTATTAATAAGATTCTATTTTATGTTCTCATGTTACACATCTAGAAGAATTCACAAAAAGAAGAATCACTTTTCAAAACATGTTTGTAAAGATCTAACCATCAATAGCAGAATATGACACAATATTTTGTTCTCTGTAGAGAAAATTATGGTTCTTCATATATTATTGCAGGATTTCCTAATTGCGTCCCTTGAAATTGCAATTTCTGTTTCGGTTCTGACTGCAATTAATCTTGCAGCATTATTACTAAATTTCTATTCCATTTCCATTGGTGTTGTGAGTGCATTTAAATGGTGGTGCTCTTTTTGGCTGTGATGTTGGGTTGGGTAGTGTTATGTCGTGAGAAAATGTTCCATCTGTACAGGCAAACATGAGTGCTCTGAACACATGTGCTGGACTGGTAATGCAGTAAAGATATAATGGGTTGTGCTGTATGGCATCAATTTAGTGATACCAAGACATGTAGCAGCAAATTTATGAGAAAACAAAACACAGTGAAATAGGCCTTCAGGGCATGTCAGCAGTTTGCTTATGTGGATGTACAATACACATCTTAGAAATTAGCCTTTTTGCTCTGCTGCTGTGGCCACTAGCATTACCAAATAATCATGTTTATGTCACAATGTTTTGTAGTATTAGGAGTATGCATTATTCTATAGTCATTAGGATTGTATACTTAATTAAGTCTATGTAAAGGGAAAATTACTTTTGGTTGGTAACATGTGTTATGAAAATAGTAAAGAAAAGAACAAACAACAACAAAAAGTCAGGGTATCAAAATGTCACAGTACACCTTTATTCTGTCATCAAGAGTTATTTTGTTCTCTTGATACAAGGACTCTCGAGGCCGTGTGCACTTGTCTTTCTAAGATCTGTTTTAATTTATGCTTGTTGCTCATGCTTACGATGTGGGTGCGCTTACTCAGGTAAAATATGATGAGCAAAAAAAATGAAAGAACTTTTTTTTTTTCAAAATTGTTGGGACTCCAATTGTAAAATAATGGTTAGTTGAGAAATATTATTCAGTTGAGCTATTTGTACTTTTTATGGCCATGATCTCTTGTGATGTGTGAGTGGTTAATTGTAATTAAATGTGTATGCTATTTTATGGTGCCATAATTCCAGGGTTCAATTGCCTGAGTTAAATGCCAAGGAGGTGATTACCCCAGAAGGGGCATTAATTCATTCTTGTTATTGCAGTTCCATGGAGATAAGTAGAAAAACAATAAAATAATCTTATTATGTGTTTAATTCTGCAAAACATGATATTTTGTACAATAATTTCATGTTTTTATCTTACAGGCAGAGCGCTATGGCTCTGATGCCAACATCTTGAGCATCCCGGTGCCGATGCGCCGCGGTGGGTCCGAATCCAACTTAGATGTAGTGAACAGTGTCGGAGACGATGGGGTGGGGTTGGATTTTACGAAGGGGGCACTGGGTATCAACAGTCTGCAGCAGAAGATCCTAAAGGTCAGAAAAAACACTTTTGCATACATTTGTAATTGTATTTATGAACTAAAATGTTGCATTTGCAGCATAGAGCTTTTATATGTGACTCATTGTCAGAAGTTTAACAGTCTGTGCCACATAGTAAGAATATGACAAAGACAAAGTTTTTTGCCTGATTTGTGTTAAATATTCTACCTAAGACAACACTTAAATGTACAGCTTGTCTTCATGTCTATTTTCAAAAGATTATAACTGTGATTTTGCATTTCTGTGCAGGTAACTGAACAGATTAAAGTCGAACAAGCAGCACGAGATGAGAATGTTGCTGAGTACTTGAAACTTATGAACAATGCTGAAAAGCAGCAGGTTCAAAGAATTCGCCAAATCTTTGAAAAGAAAAACCAAAAGTCCGTCCACACTATCAACCGGCTGCAGAAAAAACTGGAACAGTACCATCGACGCATGAAGGACAGTGAAAGCAATGGCAAACACTCTCATAAGAATGGGAACCAAAAGGAGTCTGGGACGCAGAGTAAAGAGGGCAGCCTGCGGGACGTGAGCTCTACAGGACGGCATCAAACACTGGATAAAGTGAAGACCATTGGACCTGGAGTGACGCTTTCACCACCATTTTTCTTTAACAAACCACGAGAGTTTGCTAACCTCATCAGGAACAAATTTGGCAGTGCTGACAATATTGCCCACCTCAAGAGCTCCATGGAAACAGGATCAGGGCTGCAGGTTGAGGGCACTGCTCGAGGTTTGAGCGGTAGTGCCACCACTGTAGCCAAAGCCACAAAGTATCAAAGTGACGATGAATGCTCTATAGCATCTTCTGGGTCAGGTGACTCAACTGGTAACGCTGCGGGGGGGTCGGGCACGGGCTCTGGTGATCCTGGACGACCAGAGTCCAATGGGCGCCTTGAAGAAGTCCTGGAGATGGTCCGTGAGCTCAGGGACGCCCAAGCACAGCTGTCAGATGATATTGAAAATCTGAGTACACAGTTCAAACGGGATCAAGGCTTTCTGACACAAATGCTGCAGGACGAGAGATACAGGTGAGTGGATATTTGAGAACTGGCCTATAAAAATGTATAGATACTTAGAAATCCAACTTATTTAACAATACAGTATAAACAGTACCAATTTACCATATTAGTCATATTGATGAGGTTTACTGGCACACTAAAGAAAGAATGACTAACTCCCAAATTACCCATACATAAATCAAGAGCACATTTCAGCTGCATTGTTGAGGGTGTAGTGGATAAACTGCTGAGCTTTACTCCCCCACACACACTCAATTATGCATTGTGTTTTTCTCTCCCTTTGGCTCTCTGCCTCCACCTGCTCCTTCATGTGTGTGGGTGTTTCTGTCTGTCAGGTACCGGCAATTGGAGGAAGAGCTCAATGACCTCACAGAGCTGCACCAACACGAGACCAGCAACCTGAAGCAGGAGCTGGCCAGCATCGAGGAAAAGGTGGCTTACCAAGCCTACGAGCGTGCCCGAGACATACAGGTAAATGTGTGTACATTCTATGAATTTACAGACTGCGTTGTTTTAATTGATATTTCTTCATCATGTCAAAACCACTTATGACAATCAATCTTCTATGGAGGGACAGAGGAGTTCATTCTCCAACAGGCTCCTACAGCTCTGCTCAAACAGGGACAGATACAGGACTCCATTTACACCATACTCCATACAACTATACAACAACTCACCCTTATGTAACAGATAATACTCCCTACAACTGGACAACGGATAACCCTATGTCCTGTCTTCCTATGACCTCTTGTATAAAGCTGTGATTTTATATTCTATTACTTATCTTTCTATTTTATTTTTACTTGTACTTTTACATTTATAAGATTATATCTTATTTGACAACAGTCTCTTGCTATCTTTTTTGCTACATATTTAGAATTTATTATTACCATTTATATTTTTGCTCTTTGTTATTGTATTTATTGTGATGTGTGAGCTACTGTGTCCAAATAATTTCCCTTGTGGATCAATAAAGCTTGTCTAAGTCTAAGTCTTAAAACTGGCTTTGTCAGGGATATTTTTAACATGCACATTACTGTTGCTGTTCCACTCAAATTGGCAGATTTTTGCAGTAGCCCAATAGTGTACATTATAGTATTATTATTCATGTATTAACCATGTTTTTTATTTTGTACACAGGAAGCCCTGGAGTCCTGCCAGACTCGAGTGTCTAAACTGGAGTTGCAGCAGCAGCAGCAGCAACAAACAGTGCAGCTGGAGAATGCAGATGCAAAGGTGCTGCTAGGTAAATGCATCAACATCATGTTGGCCATTGTCACGGTGATTCTGGTGTGTGTCTCCACGGCCGCAAAATTCACTGCCCCACTGCTACGAAGCCGCCTCCACCTGGCCCTCACCTGTATGGGACTGTCCGTGCTCGCTTTGCTCTGGAAGAATTGGGAACATTTACAGTGTGCTGTAGAAAGACTACTGCTTCCACCTTGAGCTACAAAGACTATTGAACTGTCTCTCAAGGGTTGTCCAGGTTTCCAGGTGACATGTTGCTGTGGAGACTTAGGAGGCAAAGACAGGTGTAGATGTAGCTTTATACCAGCAGACCAGCTCTCTCTCCCCATGAGGACCACACTCACAGTGAATTTATGGCTACAAGTTTTGCATGCCACATAGTTGCCAGGCAGTAGTGGCCAGCAGTAACCATAGAGCTGTCCACAAATATTCGCATAAACAATGCACACATATGTAAGCTGATAATTTATTTTGGCTGTTAAGTACTGTGTGTTAAGGAGTGAATGGGGCAAATGTTGAACAATGGGGCATCATGTTTCATCACTACAGTTGCACACTGACTGGACCAAATAAAGACCAGTGATACATTGGGTCAGTTTGATCTGACCTAATTTTAGATTTAGACTTTCATTTCAGCATGAAAATGGAGTGATTATTACCTGTGCTTAAAGGGTTGTTCCACCCATGTGCTGGCAACATGTGTCTTGTCCTTCACTTGCATAAGCCTGAAGGCATCCATTTAAAGATTGCTTTGTATGGTTTGTATCTGTGTCGTCCTGTCCATATATGTGTGGTGTGTCTCTTCTTTATTCCTTCTAAACTGTCTGATCTATGTGTTTTTATATGTCGGTGCTTTTAATGTGTGATAAAAGGAATCATTATGGAAAAGTTATAACACTATATTCATATGAAAACAATTTTCTATATGTATTAAGATATTTTACACCCAAAAATCTCCCTCAAATGCTGTCAAATGAAAATAATATACAGCATATATTTTCCAAATGCAGTAATGCTCAGGTGTTTTTGTGCTGCCCATATAATTCTAATAATATAGATTCTAATGCACCACTAATAAACAAGGTGAGAAGTGAGAAAGGTCGTCTGTGTAATAAATGTTGTTTACAGTTGTCTGACAAAGATGGACCATGAACTGTTTTAAGAAGTACTGTAAAAAAAAAAATCAAACTGGTTGTTTGTTGATTTTAATGTGTTTGTGTGATTTGAAAAAGGCTTGGCTGGTCTATCACTGCATCACTGCACCTCCTGCTGAGCAGAGAGACCCTGTGGCACACCAGTGATAGATTTTTATTGAACAAATTAAGCTTTTTGTGTCTTGTTGCATTCATTTTGCTAAGAAATAGGAGGTGTTCTCTGTTTTCAAAGATTTTGTCATATTTTTTGGCATGAGATCTTAAAATGCTATATGTTAACATATGAAAACATTACTGCAAAACAGTACAAGTAGGCATACAGCATTTGCTTCAAACTTGCTCCAGATTTATAATGTAGCCTATGTATAAAAAAAAATAGTTGGATAAATTATTGATTTATTTTTTTGTTATGTGAATGCAACAAGATATTTGACTAACATCTAACAATGTAGCCTCGACCCTCTACCCTCGTTTGCCCTCGACCTTTAATTATTGTGGTCATGAATGAGGTAAAGGGACTGCTGCCATTAATGTTTACATTGTAGATTATTGGCAGTAAATCTGTTATTTTGCTTTCAAAGCCAAATATAAACAAATTTGTTTTTGGGGGCATTTTACTACACACATTACAACAGATAACATGGCCTACAACAAACCTTCTAACTCAGGCCTACTACTTTTTTCTATTTTTAACAAGCTCAAATATTGTTTTAGTTTTCACTTGTTTTATTTTTAAAAATAAAATAAATTTATAAACTGAAAACACTGTGTCCCTTCTAATTATCATATGCCTAAAAACAGAATTAAATTCATTGTAAATGTGTATGTAGTCACTATCAGTGTCCCTAAATAAGGTAAGTTGAGTACAGAAAGACAGCATTGTAAGAACTATGTGCCATCTACTGGTAAATAATAAAATGCCTTCAAGGCTAATTTCATAGAAATATGCTGCATATTTTGAATTGCCTAAATTTAAACATTAAGGCTAACATTCCATCCAAGGCTACATTTTATTCATTGCTCTTTGTTTTGATTAAAGCCACATTATTTGTATTTGTTGATATAGTATTAATTAAATATGTCATAATTTTGACACAGACTATGAGGACCCCAGTGCACAGATCATTACATTTACTTGCTATATATTTTATTTATTCATTATTTCAGGCACAAATATTATTTGGTCCATACTTAAAAATGAAAAAAGGGGTGGGGAGCTGTGTACAATGGACTACATTTTCTCAGCATATTTGCCTGGGCATACAGTTTACAATACTGTCATCCTACCAATCATCTGTGGCAAAGTGACCAAGGTATTTGGTCTCTTTAGTCACAATCATGATGTTACTCTTTGTGGAATAATGTTTAATTATATATATATATATATATGTGTGTGTATATATGTGTATATATATATGTGTGTGTATATATGTGTATATATATATGTGTGTGTATATATGTGTGTGTGTGTGTGTGTGTATATATATATATATATATATATTTTTTTTTTTTTTGTCATAGTTTGAGTAGACTTTTAATAGCTTTTGCTTCCCAGCACTGTAAAGACTTATGATAACGAGATTATTGCTGACTTTAGTTCCACTGACACAGCCTGTTTTACAAATGTTTAACTCTGTACAGTTCATCAAAATAATTAACAATTTAAATAAAAACGGGGAGAGTGCCCCACCTTATTGTGCACTGTTACTAACATTAAAAGACTCTGATACAGCATTGTCCCATTTCACTCTCATTGTTTAGCATACCAGAACACTAAACTCGAATCAAATACTTTGACACCTCTAATGACTAATTTCAGGAATAATTTGTTGTGGTTTCTTTATCAAACGCCATAATGGCATCAATAAAACAGAAATATAGATGAATTCAAACCAAGTTACTGCCCAAAAATTTCTTTCAGTGCATAAATTCACATCATTTCCATGTCCTTTTTTGAATCCAAACTGATTGCCATTAGTTAAAACATACACTTCCAATCTTGTGTCATTTTCTAAAAATTTAAGGGGAATGCTGGCAGGGGTAATAGGTCCAAACTATTTAAATGAGCTTTAGAGACAGGAACTAAAACAACAAAAATAATAGAACTGGGCAGGACACCATGAGTTAAAAAGTTGGTAAAACAACATATACAGCAGAGGGCATAATTTATGATTTGAATATTTCCACCAAGTTTTAAAATGTCATCATAGATTTCACTGGCACGAACCACCATGTCGTCATATCAGCATTATCAATATTAACATTATCACTTTTCACTGAGTTAAACAGATCGCAAAAATGTTTACACAATTCAGTACACAAGTCAGGAATATTATCATAGTCACATACACCTTCAGTGTTTGATGGCAGTAGAGTTTTAACATTGTTCCTAACTTTAACATTATTTCAAAATTTATGGTCATTGAGCTGGAGTCCTTTGGCAAGAGAGTCTGCTCTCTCATAATATATTCTTTTCTTTTAATAGAACTGTAACGAAGAGTATATTTAAATCTAGCATTAGTCACTTTTTTAGACTCAAACAATGCCTCTTGTTAAGGCTTCCCTGCGTCATGCCAGAGATTGAAAGCTTCCCTAGCAGCAACATGATGATGTTTAATATGGCAACTTTTGTGATTCTTATTTTGAAGACACTGACCACTGTCTTCCAGAACTTGAATAATGATTTCATATAACTCACAGTTCTCTGCAGTGCTTAAAAATTCTTAGTTTGGATCAAGACATGTCAATGCATCCCTTGGTAGATTGACAGTCTGCAGCAGAGCATCTTTGCTGCATAATTATTAATTTTTACTTTAGACCAGTCAAGTCTAGCTGCAAGACCATCATTTCTTTTAATCACAAGTGCTAATATGTTATCCACATTTAAAGACATGACTAAACGTATATAAGCAAAAGTGGCAAAGGTTTACAAAATGTCAGTAATACTTAAATAGGCTTAGGCATCTGCTGTACAAATACAATGATTCAACCAACTACTTACAAAAATATTAAAAAATATAAAACTATTATAATGTAACCTTCATATCACAATGCCTAATGAGTGAATAGTTAAGATCTTTTACTGTCTATAAAAGTTTGTTTAGATTTAGTATTTAACGTTTACATGAAAGGCCTCCAGAACAGACGGGGGCGCGCTAGAGTTATCTCCTTCAGACAGTACCGGAAGCAGTTTTAACTGACCTCTCACGAAACAGCGCGCTTTACCAAAACTTTGCGAAATTATAGCTTGTTTTAACACATTTACCTGCTCATTATCTTTTCTTTCACGTCACGTGTGATATGTGGATTACTGTTTACTCACGTTCTTTGGTTTAGTGTCTCTTTTATGTTTTAATAGCTGCTAAAAAGGCTCATAGGTTTTAAGGTTGCGTCTGTGTACAACGATTTTGTTTTGGATGGATGAGCACAAGGAGAACATTTGTTCAGACAGCAGATTGAAGATGTCTGATATACGAAGACATGATAAAGACAAGGTTAGTACATGAATCTTTGCTGCTAAATCAATCCCGAGAGCAACCAAGATCGTGACATTTGCTGCTTTGTTAACAACTGCCAGTTGTATGCTGTTGCCATTAATTGTATTTATCTGTTGGCAATTGATGAGTGTAACCATTGTTTTTATTCCTCCAGTCTTGCATTAGGATATGTGCAGATGAAGATCCTACCCCCAACACGTCCTCTCCGTCTAATGGAGATTACAGTCATCCTGTGTATAAAGAAATTGCTTTGGCTAATGGGCAGATTAACCGCATGTCTAAAGAAGAGCTTCGAAAGAAATTGTCCGATCTAAAGCTTGACACAAGGTAAGAAATATACGTTATATATATTCCGCAGTTCCTCCTCAATGATTTGTCAAGCAATTAATGTAGTCTTCACTAATTTTGCATTTTTCATATGTTAAGAGGTGTGAAGGATGTCATGAAGAAAAGGTTGAAGAGCCACTACAAGAAGCAAAAGCTGCAGCAGTCCGCAGCAGAGGGAGGCCTTACTGACACATACTACGACTACATTTGTGTGGTGGACTTTGAGGCAACATGTGAAAAGGATAACCCTCCAGGCTTCAAGCATGAAATTATTGAGTTTCCAATGGTTCTCATCAACACAGAGACTTTGGAAATTGTTAGTTGTGCTATTTCTTATTCAAATGTGAATATTATCATTATGACATTGTACTAACTAGATGTGCATTCCTTTCAGGTGGACTCTTTCCAGGAATATGTTAAGCCAGAACTGAACCCACAACTTTCTGAGTTCTGTGTAAATCTAACCGGAATCACTCAGGTTGGTAGAAGACACCCTTGATACCACATATATATTGATTTGTTATTGCAACTCTCTTTTTGTGTAACAGAAAATGGTTGATGAAGCAGACCCCTTTCCAGTTGTCCTTGAAAAAGCTGTAGCTTGGCTTCAGGAACGAGAGCTTGGGACAAAATACAAATATGCCATTCTGACTGATGGGTATTTATTTACTTTTTTTTTTTTTACACAAACCGCATTTTGTGCATTGTTTTGCCAGATTCACCATGCTAACTGTTTTAACTTCTTAGGGCTTGGGACATGAGCAAGTTTCTGAACATCCAGTGTACCATAAGTCGTATCAGATATCCCCAATTTGCAAAGAAATGGATAAATATAAGGAAATCATATGGAAATTTTTATAAGGTATGACAAAAACTAATCAATACAAATTGACTGATAATAGTTAAATATTTTGTAAACCAATATAATGTAATATTCTATTCACTGAGATAATAAATGTATATAGTTGCAGTTTATTTTTGTACATTCTTACATTGACTCTTGTTTGTCCTTAGGTCCCACGCCCACAGACAAAGCTGAGTACAATGTTGGATAAACTGGGTCTGAAGTATGAAGGCCGCCCTCACTCTGGTTTAGACGATTCTAGAAACATTGCCCGAATCGCTCTGCGGATGCTGCAGGATGGGTGCCAGTTGCGGGTCAATGAGCGCATGCATGCTGGCCAGTTACACTCAGTCCCCAGCTCAGCCCCAGTGGAAGGAGCCCCTCCACCACACAACCCCCGCTCCAGGGAGTAACCAACTGTGTATATACTGAAAGCTGGCCTTAAAGCAAATTTATTTTTGCCGTTTGTGTGTTATGACAGCATTGACTGTCAACAGACTAAAGGGTGCCACGTGCCAATTTAGTTTCTTTTAGAGAAGTTAAAGACAGGCACACCAGCATTTGTTATTTTGTCATCGTCATTGTATTAATACAGCTTAATTTGTTACCTGTAATTAAAGGTAAATTGCCAATAGATGTCTTGTCACATCGAATACATGTTTAAAGCACTTTCATTGTGTTGAAGGTTTGTCATCCAGTATAAAGTCTAGACTTTATATTGAATTGGTATCTTCTTGACACAAGATTCAAACTTTGATATTTTTGTACAACAGTAAAGTAATATTCAGAGTTAATATTTCACTACTTCGTTGTCAACTTGTAATCTGTGCCTAATGTGAGCAGAATTTATGGAGTATTCAGAAAAATTAACAATGAATAAATACTTTACGAAATGCCTCTGGTGTTTTTTAATGAAGTTTATTTTCTCCATTCACAATACAAATATTCAAGTTTGTCCAAATAACTTTTAGGATGTATAAAATATATAAATGTGAAATAAACTAATTTAACTTAATTATTAAATTTCATAGAAAGGCATACATTGTTGCAATATTTGGCACAGAGGATTTCGAATTTAGCTCTAGTTTCCTGTGACTAAATGGCATCATGATTTGTAATGTTTTAAATTTTTAGAATGCTATCAAATTCCCAGCCAACAATTCAATAAATGGGACATCTGGTTTAATACTGTTAATCAGACACAGGTGCTGTACAGTGTCACTTTGTAGCTGATCTCTTCTAAGATACGACGAACCATCTCCTCCAACTGAGCCAACTCTGCAGCTTTGACCTCAAGAATCCTCTGATTGGCCTCATAAGATGTCTCCAACTCTAAAAAGGGAAGGGAGAAAAACAAGAATTTAAAAGCAACACCGCTTAAACTGCATAAAACATCTAGAAGAGCCAGATCACTTGAATGAGTCTATGGACAAAGACATTT